CGTATAAAAACATATACAGCATAAATATGAAGTTAATAAATACAAACATATATGAAGTAGTCAAATACAAAATAGTTGGGTAACACTAGCAGTTGGGAAGATGAAGAAAGGCTTCATGCAGAAGATGGTGCTTGAGCTGCATCTTAAAGGAAAGAGAGAGACTTGGAGGGTATAAATGGGGTTAAGGAATAAGTACTTTCCAGGCATTTCATCCTGTAGTGGTCATGCAGTAGAAAAGCACAGGGATGGGAAATGGAATATCAAGTGGGATGAGCAGAGAGCAGGACAGTTTGACTGGATAGTAGAGTAGGGGAGGGGGAATAATCTCTGATGAGTCTGGAAAGATAGGCCAGGGCTAGATTTTGCAGGGCTTTAAAAAGTAAACAGAGAAGTTTATATTTTCTCCTAGAGGCACTTAGAAAGCTACTAGAATTTGAGTAGGGGAGTCACATGATCAGAGCTGTGCTTAACTAAAATTACTTTGGATGCTGTGTTTCGGATCAGCTGGAATGGGGATAGACTTGAGAGACTTACAGTAATTTAGGTGAGATGTGATGAGGGGCTGAACAAAGGTAGTGATTATGTGAGTGGAGATAAGAGGTCAAATGTGAGAGATGTCAAGATCTGGCAGCTTATTGGCTATATGGAATGAGGAAGAGTGAGCAGTCCAGGATAATTTCCTAGGTTACAAACCAGGAGGCTGAAAGATGGTGGTGCCTTTCACAGAAATAAAGAAGTTTGAAAGAGGAGGAGAGTTGGAGGGAAAGACAGTGAGTTCAGTTTGGGGTATGTTCTAGTGCCGAACACAGTGCCTAACATAGTAAGCATTTAATAAACGTTTATTGACTGACATATTCAGTTTATGATAATAACAAGCATTTATATAGCAATTTAAGGTTTGTAAAGTGCTTTACAAATAATATCTCAAGTGATCCTCACAACAGTCCTGGGAGATAGAAGCTGTTAGTATCCTCCTGTTATAGATGAGAAACTTAAGCAGACAGAGATTAGACAGTGACTTGCCCAGGATCACACAGCTAATCAGTGTCCAAAGCTAGATTTGAACTCAGGTTTTCCTGACTCCAGGTCTAGTATGCTATCCATTGTGCCATTTGAAGTATCCCATAGGCCATTGGTGATACAGGACTGGAATTCAGGGGAGATAGTGAGGCTAGATTTATAGATATGACGGTCTGCATAGAGATAGTAGCAGTTAAATCCCATGTAAGCTGATGCGGTTACCAAAAGAGTGTGTAGAAGGAAAAGAGAAGAGGGCCTAGGACAGAACTTTAGGGAACACCCACAGTTAGGGAGTGTAATATGAATAGTGAACTAGCAAAGGAGGCTAAGAAAGAGTAGTTTGACAGATAGGAGCAGAATTGGGAAATATTGGTATCACCGAAACTCAAAGAGGAGAGACTATCCAGGAGGGAATAGCCAACAATGTCAAATGCAGCAAATGAATTGAGAAGGATTTAGAACTGAGAAAAGGCCATCATATTTGGCAGTTAAGAGATTGTTAGTAACTTTGGAGAGAACTGTTTAAGTTTAGTAATGTGATTGCAAGCCACATTGTAAAGGAGTGAGGGAAAGGAAAGGAGATAGAGACAGAAAGGATGGACAATTTTTTCATGGAGTTTGTCTGAGAAAGGGAAGGGAGATAACAAGATAATAGCTTGAAGGAGGCAGGGAAAAGTTGGGCATTAGGGAGAGGGAGGAAGAGAGTGATTAAGGATGTAGTCTGCTGGAGAGGGAAGGAGTGGGATCAGGGAGACATAAGGGTAGAGTTGGCCTTGCTAAGAAGAAGGAACATTCTCTGTCAGAGACTAGGGGAAAGGAGAAGAGAGTGGAAGATGATAGCAAGATGTTTTGATATGAAGAGAGGGGGAGAAGAGTTAATTTCAGATGATCTCGGTTTTCTTGATAAAGTGAGAGTCAAGGTCCTGGATGGGCCAGTGCAGGGCAGTAAAGGTGGGAAAGGGGAGGTGGAGGGGGGGAGAGAGAGAGAGAAGGAGAATGTGTGGGTGAAACTTGAGGAAGGGACAAAAGTTTTAGAACAGTTTCTGTGGGGAGTGAAATAGAGAATCAATTGTGAAGCAATAAAAGGACTCTCTTGCTAAAGTGATGGCCCAGTCAGCATGGTTGTGGAACATCCTTCAGCTTTGTCCGGTAATTGAGGAGATAGATCCAGGGCTGAGGTTCAGCTAGAGATAAGGAAAAGGGAAAGAGATTTAGAATCAGAGGGTAAAGCAGAGTGTAGAAGTAAAATAGTTAATTATTGGGTTGAGATAGGAGAGGGAAGAAAGAGATGTCAGAGTGGGGATAATGGCCGCAGGTGAAAAATAGGGTTTAGAAGGAGTGAGACATAGGGAGAGATGGAATGATAAAAGGTTATGGTCAGCTAAGGGAATGTCTGAGTTTTAATTAGAGAGGAGAACAATTATGGGTAATGGTGAGATCTATTGTGTGATCTACCTATGGCTGAGGTGAAGGAATAGGTCTTGCCATTTAAGGAGGCTGAAGAATTGAGAAGTTAAGGAACTTGAAGAAGTATCTTTGTGGATATTCAGGTCCCCTAGTATAAGGACAGGAATTGAGGAGGAGAGGTATATGGTGAGCCAGGAGAAGGGAGAATGACCTGGGGGCTGATTTCCCACTCCCACTATAATTTGAATTGGGTAGAAAATTTTGATTGTGTAGACTTAAAGGAGTAAAGGGAAAAGTATGCCCACTCCCCTTCTAGGAGACCAGGTTGACAGACATATGAGAAAAAGTACAAAGAATGCTGGAAAGGATAGCTGTGTGAAGATTTCTTCTTATCATCCCCTTCTTTTGCCTAACTTCTTTTCCTTCTTTTCTGTCCTGCCACAGATATCAAATGCAAAAAGAAAGCTCCCATATATAATAAAATTTTCATAATAGCATTCTTTGTGGTAGCAAAAAACTGGAAACAAAGTACATACCCATTAATGGGTCAAAGCCTGAACAAACTGTGATGTGTAAAATGGAATGTAATTACACCTTTATGCTGACAATTTTCAGATCTACCTAACCAGCCCAAACTTTTCTGCTGACCTCTAGTCTCATGTCTCCAACTGCCTTTCAGAAATTTTGAACTGGATATCCAGTGGTCATCTTAAACTCAATATGAGCTATACTCATTATCTTTCCCACAACCCCTCCCTACCTCCTTTCACTGTCATCATCCTCTGAGTCACCAAGGCTTTGAACCTAGAATCTAGTTTGAATCCAAAAATCACAGATCAAATCCCCTTAATAAAAGGATTTGTTCTGTAAAACTTAAACTCAGTCAGAAGGCCTCACACAAGGACATGGAAGGCCACATGTGCCACAGGTTTCCTACTCTTGATAGATGATGTATGTCATCCTAGACTCTTCACTATCTCTCATATCCAATCTATTGCCAAGGCCTATCAATTTCACCTTTGTAACATCTCTCAAATATTCCCCCTCCTCTCCTCTGACACTGCCACCACTCTGGGGCAGGCCCTTTCGCCTCACACCTGAACTATTGCGATAGCCTGTTGGTGAGTCTACCTGCTGCAAGCCTTTCCTCTCTCTAGTCCATCTACCTACCACTCAGCCAGCAAAGTGATCTTTCCAAAGACTCAGGTCTTACCATGTTATACCACCCCTCCCACCCTCTCAATAAACTCCAGTGGCTTTCTGTCGTCTATTAGATAATAATAATAATAATAATAATAATAATAATAATAATAATAATAATAGTGTCTACTGTGTGCCAGGCAATATGCTAAGGACATTATAGATATCTCATTTGATTTTCACAACAACCCAGGGAGATAGGTGCTATTATTATCCATTTTATATCTGAGAAAATTGAAGCAAACAAGATACTCTGTCTCTCATCTCTGGCCATTTTCTCTGTCTGTCCCCTATATCATTATTGTTATTATTAAATATTTACTGACTTTTTGACTAATGGATTATTATCAATAATTATCCATTGATTATATTGCATTAAGAAACAAATATGAAAAATTCAGAGAAATATGGGAGGGCTTATTTGAACTGTTCAAAGTGAAGAAAATAGAGCCAAGAAAACATACAGAAAAGTAGCAATAATATAAGCAAAAGCAATGCTAAAGTGGTACTCAACTCAGGTTAATTACAGTGGTCAATCTTGGTGCCAGATAACTGAGAGTGAAACATATTTTTATTTTTTTCAGTGGAAAGAGCAGGGACTTCAAGTGTAGAATGTTGAATATACCTTTGGATATCTTTGTTTGGTCTGGTTTAATTTTTTTCTTTGTTACAGGGGAGGAGTGATTACATTGTAAGAAAACAAAAAGCATCAATAAAATTTTAAAAAGAATGCTTCTTGAGTCTTCTTCGGTTACTTAAATATCTGGTATAGTTGATATCTAGTCCTTTCCTAGAGGAATTTTAATAAGTAGATCACACATATGCAAAGGTGTAGAAGACATCATGATCTTTTAAGACTAAATAACTGTCACTCTAATGTAAATGTACAACAGCCTTCCTTTTACGTGTATCAATATCAGAGGAACATTTCTAATGCCACATTACTCTTGTGACACATAGGTAACATTTCTGATATTTAGTGCCTACAGATGAATGTAAGTATAATCAGCCTTATTATTTATCCGTTTTTAATTTGGGTCCATTTTTCTCTTGCAATCTAGCCTACTTTTCCTACCTTGTAATATTTGTATGTGCATGAATTACAAACTAATTTTCATATCACCCTAAGCAAAACATAAATAGGAAGATGAATATGTCCTCATCCAAATATATTTTAAAAGTAAATATCGATTGATTTTTGCTTTGTCTTTAGTGGTAGATTAGCCATATATTTTTTCTTTCTTATGGAATAGATAATTGAGAATCAAATTAATTGTAGAAGTAGGAAGCAAAAAAATACTGTTGTTCATGAATTTTAAATTTAAAGTTAAAATTTAGCATCAAAGTATTTTTTCTCCTTGATTTTTGTCTAGATGTCCCTGGTAGATTTGGGAAAGAAGCTTTTAGAAGCAGCACGAGCAGGTCAAGATGATGAAGTTCGGATTTTGATGGCAAATGGAGCTCCTTTTACTACAGATTGGGTAAATAAAAGTAAAAAAAAATTAAAAAAAAATCTTGTGTGAATTTTACTTTCATTTATTTTTGAATAGCAATTTATCAATTTGATTAATTGACTTAGTCATATGAATTTGTTAATAAATCATTAAATTCATAGTCAAAGAGATGTATGATAGAAAAAGATTGGACTGGTTATGAACATGAGGCAAAGGCAAGAGATAGCATTAATATTACTATGACATTAGTTAATCAGTATTACTCTAAACATTAATTACTCTGACAATTTTGAGAGCTATTGAGGAAAGTTGAGTTCATCCCATTAGGTCCCATTTTTCTTCTTGACCCCATCACCCCCAGACTTGTAGGATGACAGGATGGATTATGATTTCTTTTGTTGGAAAAAGCTTCCACATGAGATCACAGATCTATTTGAATATTCATAGAGTTAAAAGTTAATCATTTTTCAGTTGGAGCAGTTTTACAAGTTAACTTGCATAATTTTAGCGTTATGACTGTCTGTTAGAATTTGAGCATATGGGAGTCATGAGCAGTTGGATTATGTTACTGGAATAGCCTATTTGTCTAAAGATTTTTCTTTTAAATTTCTAAGCCTCTCCTCAACTTTTTTATTTTGCTATCTTGTGGATCAGTAACATTTGTGATCTTCTGTCATCCTTCTCTGAATGAGCTTCTATGTACTCTAATTGGTATTGTCTTTGGTTGCCATGTTTCTCTCACAGATTCACCTAAAGTACATCTCCGGTTTGTACTTTTTAAATTTTGCCTGTGCTAATAAACTAATACATTTTTACTATATTAAAACCTCATACTGAACTTTATTAAATAAGTAGTGGTTTAGTAGGTAGATCTTTCTCAGATTAAGTTTTTTTCTTTGTAAAATGATGATATTGGCACCCTGTACCAAGATAAGGTTGAGATGAATACATGATTTAGACATAAAGGGTGATGATACCGTAAGCAAATTAGGAGAGCAATGAATAGGGCTACCTGTTAGATCTATGGAGTAGGGAAGAATTTATGAACAAACAAGAGACAGAGAACATTATGAAATGGATAATTAAATTAAATCACATAATTTAATAATAAATTATGTAATTACACTAAATTAAAATTATAACACATAATTACATTATAATTAATTATAAAAATTAATATGCACAATTACATTAAATTTAAAACTTTTTGCACAAACAAAACCAATGCAACCAAGATTAGAAGGAAAGCAGGAAGCTAGGAAACAATTCTTACAGCCAGTGTTTCTGATAAAGGCCTCATTTCTCAAATAAATAGAGAACTAAGTCAAATCTATAAGAATACAAGTCATTCCCCAATTGATAAATGGTCAAAGGATATGAACAGGCAGTTTTCAGATGAAGTTTAAAGCTATCTATAATCATGTGAGAAAATGCTCTAAATTACTATTGATTAGAGAAATGCAAATCAGAACAACTCTGAGGTACCACATCATACCTATCAGATTGACTAACATGACAAAATAGGAAAATGATAAATGTTGGAGAAGACATGAGAAAATTGGAACACTAATGCGTTGTTGGTAGAGTTGTGAACTGATCCGACTATTCTGGAGAGCAATTTGGAACTATGCCCTAAGGGTATCAGACTGTGCATACTCTTTGATCCAATGCCACTACTAGGTCTGTATCCCAAAAAGATCATAAAAAAGAGAAAAGGACACACACACACACACACACACACACACACACACACACACACATATACATATTTATAGCAGCTCTTTTTTGTGGTGATAAAGAATTGGAAATTGAGGGGATGCCCATCAGTTGGGGAATGGCTGAATAAGTTGTGGTCTATGAATGTAATGGAATACTATTGTTCTATAAGAAATGATGAGCAGATGGATTTCAGAAAAACCTGGAAAGACTTACATGAATGATGCTCAGTGAAGTGAGTAGAACCAGGAGAACATTGCACATAGTAACAGCAACATTGCGCAATGATCAGCTATGATAGACTTAACTCTTCTCAGCAATACAATGATCCAGGACAATTCCAAAAGACTCATGATAGAAAATCCTATCCAAATCCAGAGAAAGAACTATGGAGTCTGAATGCAGATCGAAGCATAATATTTTCACTTTTTTTTTGTTTTTTTCTTTCTCATGATTTTTCATTTTTGTTCTGATTCTTCTTTCACAATATGACTAATGTGGAAATACGTTTAACATGATTCTACATGTATAATTATATCAGATTGCTTGTTGTCTTGGGAAAGGGTGAAAGAAGGGAGGGAAGGAAAAGAATTTGGAACTCAAAATATTACAAAATAAATATTTAAAAACTATCTTTACATGTAATTGAGAAAAAATACCATTAAGTTGAAAAAAATGAGGATATTGGTTATTGAATTTTTTTACAGGATAGGGATATTTTTAAGGATAAAAAAGATGTCTACAAAAGTGTTTTGAGTTCCTATTAAGAAAGTTATAATTTAATATAAAGTAGATATATGATGTATAGTAATAAATCAGAGTTTAAATATCACATTTATTTTGAATTTTAGTTGGGTACCTCTCCACTTCATCTAGCAGCACAATATGGGCACTATTCAACCACAGAAGTATTACTCCGAGCTGGTGTAAGCCGAGATGCCAGAACTAAAGTGGACCGAACTCCATTACACATGGCAGCATCTGAAGGCCACGCAAGCATTGTAGAAGTTTTACTTAAGGTTTGTCTTATATTTCCAGACTTTGAAAGTAAACCTAAACCTATAATAATAATAGCTTGTGGAAAGAAAAACTGCCTGTTACAGTTTACCTTTTCTGGAAGAATTATCTCTCCTGGGTTCTTAGGTTCTTGAGCTACCTCCTAATGAAGCTCTGAAAAGTATTGTTTTCTAATTAAAAAAGAAAAGATCAATAAAAACTTATTATTTTTAAAAATCACTTTAGTTTATCCCAGTTCCTTTCTTTCTCCCTCCCAAAGAGCCATCCCACATAAGAGATATTTTTTAAAGACAAGAGCAGAAAAAGAAGAGGAAAACAGCATTAACTAATCAGTACTTCAAAACAATCTTAACAATATTGGCAACACTTGTGGACCTCCCACCTTTGCAGAAGGGTGGGGTGGAAGTGTCTTCTCATATCTTTCAAGGAGTGATTGTTTTTATAGTTTTGCAATATTCACTTTTGATTTTTTTGTGTGCATGGTTTTTCTTTCAGTTTACATTATTGTAGTCACTGCATATGTTGTTACCTTGGCTTTGTTTACTGTGCATGAGTTCATATAAATCTTTCTATGCTTCTCTATATTTATTACATTCCCCATTTCTTGTAGCACAGTAATATTCCATTACACTCATGCACCACAATTTTTTGAGCCATTCCCCAATCTATGGATATCTACTTTGATTCCAATTCTTTGCTATCACAAAAAGTGCCTCTATAAATATTTTGGAATATATGGGGACTTTCTTCTTATGAATAGCCTCCTTGGGGTATAGGCCTAGTAATTGAAATTTCTGAGTCAAAGGGTATGGAAATTTTGGTCACTTTATTTGCATAATTCCAAATTGCTTTCCAAAATGATGACTGATTCTCAGTTCTACTAGCAGTACACCAGTGTGCCTTTCTTCCCACAACCATTCCAGTATTGACAATTCCCATCTTTTGTCATCATGGCCAATTTGCTGGGTATGTGGTGAAACCTCAAGGTTGTTTTGATTTGCATTACTGTTATTATTAGTGATTGCGAGTATTTTTTCATGTGGTTGTTAATAGTTTACAATACTTCTTTGGAGAACTGTTTGCTTATATCTTTTGACTGCTTATTTATTGGAGAATGACTTTTGGCTTAAATATGAATATATACATACATTTAACATTATTTTAAGACTGATAATTGAAAATAACATTAAGCATGAGTGAGTTTTTGTTTTTAATTTAAAGAATGAAATAATTTGCGAACAAATTTTTCTGAGTATCTGAGAGCTCCTCGGAGAGAGTCAGAGAACTGAGAAAGAAAACTTTCAGAACAGAGTTCAGAGAACTCTGAGAAAGAGTGAAATTGGGAGTGGTGGATTAAAAAATGATACTCTTTGTCTTTCATCCTATTTTCTAAATGACCCTCCTTAAATGACTTATCTATTACTAGTGTATAAATTTAAAAATAAAAAACATGGATCCTAAACCTATTAGGAATGTTAAAAGAGATTTGTAGGAATACTTGCAGGATTTTACTCCTTCCTGCAGTTCTCCCTTTCCTAAACTTTCATGCCCATACTGATAGATAACAGGAAAATAAAAACAGCAAAATACAACAGAATAATTCAAGCTTTTTTAGGTATCAGAAGGAAAGTGGTTAGAAAAGTTAGTTTAGCACAAGAATGACTGACTTGTAGGATGATCTGACATTGATAAATGGTTGATTATATTTCTCTGTTGTAAATTCTTGCTCACAGACATGTACAGTAGTTATGATTTTACCTTATATATGAACTGTATTTTATACTTTAAATAATCTATGGATTTGGAATCTTTTGTAGCATGGTGCTGATGTCAATGCAAAAGACATGCTAAAGATGACAGCACTACACTGGGCTACAGAACATAACCATCAGGAGGTGGTAGAACTTTTAATTAAATATGGTGCTGATGTCCACACACAAAGTAAATTTTGTAAAACTGCTTTGGACATTTCAATAGACAATGGAAATGAAGATTTGGCAGAAATATTACAGGTAATTTTTTACCTTTCATTTTAAAACTTACAGAAGAATACCTGCTTTTTTATCATGTTGTGAATTGTTAGCCTGTTACCTTTGAGATGTTTTGAATGACGCTTTTTCCTTTCTCTCATTTCCTTCTTATTTTTTCCCAAATTAATTCATCCTAGTCATTTTCTCATTATCTCAGAGAATCTCTAATCTTTTAATATCTAAATAAGGACTAGTAAATCATTAATTTATTTGATATGAAATTGTTTCTGAGCTCTTTTAGGTCTTTCGTTCCCTTGGCTGTTTCTTTTAGTTCCTTTTACAATTTGGATACTGTATTTGCATGCTAATTTGAGATTTTTATAAGAGTATTTTATCTATTTTAGATAAAAATAAGTAATTTCAACAGTTAGAGCAATGTTTATTCAATGAACTAAGCATTCTTTGGCGTCTAGGTCCTTACTTTTCCTTTATATCCCCTTCTGAGTTCTGTCATCCTCAGAAGGCTTTCTGAGAGCCTTTATCTTTCTAGGGAGAACTGGCCACTAGTGAGCCACTTTATAGTGAGCTGCTGACCCCTTCTTTTAGTGCCAGATTGCTTTTCATCATTAAGAAGTAATTCCTCCAGATTGGTATAAATTATATTCTTTAGTCATTATCTTGAACTCTGCTTTCTAATTTCCCTTGCTCAGTATGACCTTTTTTCATTTTAATGCTAGCTTGTGACTCTATTGTTTTTCTACCAGTTACTTAAACGTTTCTTTGTTTAGGGAAACTAGGATATTCTGATGTTTGAAACACCATACTTTAAGACTGATAATTGAAAATAACATTAAGCATGAGTGAGGTGTTTTTTTTTTAATTTAAAGAGTGAAATAATTTGCGAGGGAATTTTTCTGAGTATCTAAGAGCTCCTCAGAGAGATTCAGAGAACTGAGAAAGAGAACTTTTAGAACAGAATTCAGAGAACTCTAAGAAAGAGTGAAATTGGGACACATACTTCTAGGTAGGAGAATTAAGAGGTTGAGGACCAATTTAGGTGAAGAGAGCATTTTATTCAGTGACCTATGGGTTGCTTAAATGCAGTACCAGAAATAAGGTATTAATCAAAATTCTGTAACAACAGGGCCTGCACAGGGTAGTCAAGAATTTCTTAATGGCTCACAAATCTCTATTCTATATTGATGACCATGTCAGTCACTCTCCTCTTTCAATATTTTGCTGCTTTATCTAACAAGCAGGCTGAGGTTGAGATTCAAAAATATCATACTTAGTAGACCCCTAAGCAATTTGTTAAAGACAATTCCTTTAAGGAAAGTTTTTGGGTTACACTGAAGGTCTGTGCTATTCTGACAGTTATCTAAAAATCTATTGTGGTTTCTTCTCTAGATTGCAATGCAGAACCAAATAAATACAAACCCAGAGAGCCCTGATACTGTGACGATCCATGCGGCAACACCACAGTTTATCATTGGACCTGGAGGGGTGGTGAACCTAACAGGTCTGGTATCCTCAGAAAATTCATCCAAGGCAACAGGTATTGAGATGCATGTAGGGTAGCTGTTGGGATTTTGTGCTTTAAGTAGGTATTCACCATTTTAAGGAAGGACTGTTGGAGAATAAGGGTAAGATCATAGTAGCTGCATTTTCCTTCTTTGGTTTGTTTATTATGTGACAAATGTTTGGACACATAAAATAATCTAAAGAAAGATGATGTTGGACAAAGCACTAATATTTTAGTTTTCAAAAAAAAACTGTTTTCCCCTTTTGATCCAAAAGGAGGGAGTAGCTCAAAGCTGTAAATTTGATTAAAGTTTTTTAAGAACTAATGTACCCTATTTTTTATCCCCTTTAATAGATGAAACGGGAGTGTCTGCTGTTCAGTTTGGAAACTCATCTACATCAGTATTAGCTACATTAGCTGCTTTAGCTGAAGCTTCTGCTCCATTGTCCAATTCTTCAGAAACCCCAGGTTAGAAAAACAAGTTTTATGGTTTTAAATAAAGCAGATAAAATTCTTGGCAATTGTAGCTATACAGAAGTATGACACTTGAAGAGACCAGAAAGAATTACACCAAAACCATGAAAGATAAAAGAGTGATTGTCTAGTAGTTGCTGATGTTGTTTTTGTGAGTGGGGAGTATACATTTCAGACATATGATATCATGAGTGTAAGAACTCCCAGTGAGGAAATGCCCTCTCCCAATATGGATCAGTAACTATTCTGCAACTCAGAGTTCCCTGTACACTTGAGAGGTTAATTATCTTGTCTAGGATCATATATCCAATTAGTGTCAGAGGAGGGATTTGAACCCATGTCTCCTTGAGCTTGAGGCCCATTCTTTATTATATCAGACTACTCTCTGTCCTTTCCTTAAAGATAGAAAATAGTAAGTTATTCTACTACTTATAATAACTGTTAGAGTCAGGATACTCCACTTAGTTATGCTCTAATGCCTCATCATGATGTGCTTATCATTACTTCTTGAAGGCTTTACCAAGGGAACATAAACAATATATATTCTACATGTCTTTCTGCTGAGGACTAGCGCTAGCTAAATTTGGAGGGCTCATCATCAGAAGCGTGGCCAACAGTTGATGACTTGTTTTTAGCCTCAACAACACATGAAGACTACTGCGGTATAGAGGGGGTTGCTATCCACATTGCTAGGGTGCTAGAGTACATTACCTAGGTGCTATGGTGACTATATAAGCCAATGAAATAATGAGCCCTTGACCTTGGAAGTACAGGTATAGCCACGACATTTTCTTTTATGTTTAACCTACTAGCCCATTTTCTCTTTTAAAAAAAATGTTTCATTTGTGTCTTTTGTCCTTCCATTACAGAAAAAGGGGGAAAGACAACCCATATCCTCCTTTCTAACATGAACTCCTCTTGCCACAAAGAAAAACAATTTAGCAAAAGCACCCCAGCACAGGGATTATATCTGACAAAGTATACAGCATTCTATCTTAGTAAATACTTCTCTTTCTGTTAACGCAGAGGGAGACATGCTTCATTATTTGTTTTCAAGGACCCTCTTTGGTATTTCATTTGCCTTGAGTTTAGTTTCCTTTTATTTATCTTTTAACTTACAGTGTTACAGTCATTATACATATTTTCACTTGGCTCTCTTTATTTCACTTAGTTATTAAGTACTTATTGATTGACTTTGTATTTGAATGTGGGTTTCCAACTAATGACATAAAATCACCTCTCTTTACAGGATGGAAAATTAATATAACCTTAAATAATAGAGCAGTCACTTCTTAAGTAATCCACAAAAGAGAAGCCATAGTTTATTGTTGTTCTAAGAAACCATAAAAAATAAGTGAATTTGTAGCCACCACATATCTTCTTCTTTAATTATTTTAGATTAATTATTTTTAAAAAAACTTTTGGATTATATAACATGTGAACTTCATGATGGCTCTGTTGCTGACTTATCATATGGAGTTGATTCTCTAACCTAAGTTCTGAATAGTTACTGAGTGAAAGGGCCCAAAACAATGGAAAACTTGTAGAGAACCTATAAGTAAATAATGCAAATGATTAAGGCTTTAGAATATGCGAGTGAAGACAAAATGATGAATGGAGATAGAGTGTGACTGACAAAAAATCAAGAAACATTTTTCTACAGTTGTAGTACAACGTAATTTTAAAACTTAATTTAATGCAGAGAATAAAGTGCTGAGTGAGTGAAGAGGAACAGTTTATTAACAACTTTTGTATTTGTGAAAAGAACCTGTGCAGTAAATGGCGATATTCCATCAAAATGACAAAATAGAGCATCCATAATTTGTGGTTGAATTTTGAATGAGAAATCAAAAAATACCCATTAACTGTAAGACTTGTAAGGTGCAAGAACACATTCATCTAGGGAGCATATAAGCCAAACGATGTAGATCAAGAAAAATTCAGTTCAACAGTATAAAATTTAAACACTGAAGTTATAATAAAAGAATACTATGAAAAAAAATTTAAAATTCTGTATCCTAAAGCGGTTTTTAAAAATAGGATTTTATTGATGTCTTGTGTTTCTTATATCATCACAGTTGTCTTAAGTATCCCTCCCCCTCACTCTCATAGAGAGCCATCCTGTATAAAGAATAGTGTTTTTTAAAGAGGACAAAAATATACTTTCAGGGTCAGGCAGGTGGCGCAGTGGATAGAACACCAGCCCTCGAGTCAGGAGGACCTGAGTTCAAATGTGGCCTCACACACATAACACTCACTAGCTGTGTGACTCTGGGCAAGTCGCTTAACCCCAATTGCCCTCACCAAAAATATATACTTTCAGTGTATCACTGTATAACGCTTGTGGGCCTCTCACCTCCACAAAGGGATGGAGCTGAGGGTGTCCTCTTGTGTTTTGTCATTGGAGTCCTGCTTGGTCTTTATAATTTTGTTACATTCACTTTTGAATTTTTGGTGTGTCATTCTTTCCATTTTCATTGTTGTAGTTACTGTGTATATTGTTTTCTTGGCTGTGCTTACTTTACTCTGCAAGTTCATGTTGATATTTCCCTGCTTCTATTTATTCGTCATGCACATCATTTCTTACAGCATGGTAATATTCCATTACATTCATGTACCATATTTGTTTGGCTATTTCTCAGTTGATGGGCATCTACTTTGTTTCCACTTCATGGCTATGACAAAAAGTGCTGCTATAAATATTTTGGCATATTAAATAATTTATCAATGACAAGATAAATTTATTCTAGGAACAAAGAAGCTTAGGTCAGTTTGGAAAGACTGAGCACATGCCCGCAACCTGGACAGAGCTCTATCTGTTTAGTTACTTTGAGCAGTTTCTTTTTATTACTTACTTTTTCTCCTGCCTTAAGTCTATTCTGCATATGTGTAAGTTGTATCGTTTTAGGTAGAAAGTGCTCTTCATTCTGTGTTCAGTTGTGTGATATTATATGACCTTCCATATCAAGTTTAATATGAGCTTTCTTTGCCCACTTCTGTTTTTATTTTTACACTTTTTCCTGTGGAGTATAATTTGTTGGGGTTTAAAATTATCTGTGTGAAAATCTGACCTGTGTTTTTATTACTCATCAGAACATACATAACATATTTTTTCTCCATATTTGTGACATTAATTAGTTAAGTATTGATGGAAGAGTGGGCCTATAGGTGAGTAGTTAATGATGTTCTCTCAGGCACATTTTTCAGTATTAATAAGATCCTAGATTTTTTTCTCCCTCCTTTAATATCTTACCTACCTTCAAATATCTTGTTCATTAAATACCTTGTGTATGTAAATGCCTGACTCTTTTAATGCCTTATATTTCTCAAAGAAGTCTTCCCAATTGGATCATACTTAGCCCAGACCTCTTTCTCTCTCTCTCTCTCTCTCTCTCTCTCACTATCTCTCTTTCTCTCCTTCCGTGTGTGTGTGTGTGTGTGTGTGTGTGTGTGTGTGTGTGTATATGCATGCACTTGTACTCTGTCTAATGTGGTTGCCTTTCTCGTCTTTGTTCTCTGTAGTGACATTTCTACTGCTTCTGTAAACATATCCCAGGATTGTGATATTAGGTCCAAGTGTGGTGGTTCTACCATCCTTGCTATAAAAAAACCATTTTCTTAAAAATGGTATTTGCAAATCTTTTCTTTTTTCCTTGTTTGTAGTCCTGTTTTCATTTTTAAATGCTCTTGAGAAGACTTTGCTTAGTTGGATTACTTGCCAGGTTTTCTTTAAACTTGTTTTACCTTCTACTCCTTCCCTCTGCTTTAGGAAAAGATACTATTCATATTCTTCTATCATCCTTCTTCAACAAATTTTTTAGACAAGTTTATATTCTAACCCATTGTTGCTTTGGGAAGCCATCTCTCTCCAGTTGGCAAGTAGATCAGATGTCTCCTGAGTAATACCCTTTTTAGCCTCTTTTGGTTTCTTTGTAGGGACAATTAATTTACAGTAGTTGAACTTCTAAATGAAATTATTATAGTCATTGTCAATGTCATTTCTTCTTTTTTGATTTTTTTTAATTACATGTTTAAATAATTCAAGATTAAGTCATTTCAGTTGTACGCCATTGTCTTTTTATCATTATTCTTATTTTTTCCCCACTAATTCTGATCTTTACTCTATTGAGTTGATGGTCTGAATTGTACCTAAACAGCTGGATTCAGGAATGACTCCCACATCAGTGACAAATCTTTTCCTGTCAGTTAGTTTCAGGATTTTCACCGTGTCTAGTGCCTACCAATTTTTTTTTTTTAAAGAAAGTGTTAAGGGGCAGCTAGGTGGCTCAGTGGCTATAGCACCGGCCCTGAAGTCAGGAGGACCTCAGTTCAAATCCAGCCTCAGACCAAACACTTGACACACTTACTAGCTGTGTGACCCTGGGAAAGTTGCTTAATCCCAGCTGCCTAAAAAAACTAAAAAATAAAGAAAGAAAGTGTTCATAGTGGTGTGAGGTAACTGTGTAATCTATAGGTATTTTGTTTCTCTTATTCTTCTTAAGTTATATTTTCCCATGTAATTCCCACCAGCTTCACCTTTTCTCACATTGAAATCAAGTACCAGAATGTATGTTGATTTAATTTTAAAGGGTATTATTAAGTACTTTGTGTAATTTCTCTCCCACTTCATCCTCATCGACCTTAGATGGTATATAAACTGCAATTATTTTCATGGTTGTCTTTTTTGCAAATACTTTCCATTAAGTGTTGTAATATGTGATGACAAGATGTCCCAAAAAAAAAGTTTTTTTCTTCTTTCCTGTTGGTGTACATTAAAACCCAACCCACCAACTCCTTTCTTTGCTTCTTCATAACTGTGACCTCTTCTACTTAGCTACAGCTTCTTTCTTTTGATTTACTTAATAGCAAGAATATCAAGATTGTATGGTCTCCAGCAAAACAGTAGTTATTGGATCTCACATTTAGAATATCAGTTGTCAAATAGGTGGCACAATGGATAGAGTGCCAGGCCTGGTATCAGGAAGACTCATCAT